TCCAAGTTGGGAATACAAGGCCCCAACACAATGTGCACACTTCGCAGAGGCCTGGCCCGCCGGGCCGCTGCACTCCACGCTGCGTACTCGCATGAGGGACGAGGCTGTCGATGTTGCGGTACTGCTCTGAGATTCTTCCAGCGAGCATTGTGCTCTCTTGCTCGACCTTCGTAGCCGTGAAGAAGAGGTCCTGCAGCATCATGTCGGCCGAGCATCTTTGCCTCTATGCCTTGGGTTGTCACGTCCCAGAGACGTGCCATCTGATCGTCTGTGGTAGCATGCTGAATGTCATCGTGAAACTTGGTCCAATCTCTAGGGTACTGACCGCGCCCTCGTTTGGCAAGAACTGACAGAGACTTTGGTTGATCCGCAATTCGGCTCCACAAGGCAGTGTCCTTCGCATGAACCTGCATCAACGCTGGCTTATGCGGCCAGCTCTTCGCTGTATCCACCACCCCAATCATGCCTGATCGAACCGCAAACTCCTCCGACATGATGAAGTAGTCGATCGTCGTACCTGGAGTGCTCTGAACGCATGTGGGCGCAGAGGGCGCCACCAGCACGCCCCCAATGGAAGTGGCCCATGGCTGCGTCAAAGCACGGTCCATGTTGTAACCCGCTCCAACAGTGCATTCGTATCCGAGAGCTCGCACTCGAAACAAATACTGGGCCAACGTCGTCAGCAGTGTCATGTTCTTCTGCCCCATGTCTTCACTAACATGCAGGTGCGCAGACACAGCCACGAAGCCGCCCTTGAACCGCGTGTGCACAAGCGCCGACACGATCCTCAAATCCATCAGCACACCTTCAGTGTCGGCAAGCAGAGGGCTTGCCGTCACCTGCACGCGCTTGGGCGCAGTCACAGCCGCGCCTCCATTTGTGCCGTGCCCGTTGCCAGTCTCCTTGGCAGGGGCCCACGCTCCATGACAACCTACCGCACTCATGCGGCCCTGAAGCGAACCCATCTTTGTCGAGGTGACGTGATGCTCCTGCACGCACATGACAGACTGCTCATCTCCAAGCACGGGAGCATCAGCCTCGAACGTCTCAGGAAGAGGGCTGACCGATGTTGTGTTAACTGTAGCACCGCGCGTCATTATGAGTAAAGGGTAGAGCAAGCAACCAATCAGACCAAACATCGCGTACGTGAGCTCAAGCCGCCTTTGTGACGCGTCGCGAACGACACCAAGAGGGCCCCAGTCCGCTTGGCTGCTTCCCGCAATTCATCTTCACCCTCCGGCACCTGCTGCTCGACTGGGCGGAGGAACTCGCGCAGCACCTCGGGGGAATCGGCCTCAGATGACGGGGTTGCCTGCCCCCAGCGCTGCTGGTGCTGCGCGCCCTTCGCCGCCTCCTCCGCAGCTGCTGCTTGGGCGGCCTGGGCGGCCTCCTGCTGCTGCTGCTGCCGCTGGCGCGCCTCCTCGGCAGCGCGGCGCTGCTGGGCGCTGTGGAGCTCCTGCTGCGCCTTCGCCTCAGCCAGGCACTCGAACAGATTCTGCGCCAGTCCTGGACTGCCTCCAAAGCCCTGCAGCACCTCCCCGCACTTCTCGACTGCGAGGTCGCTGGCGATAAGCTGCTTGAACCCCTTCTGCCCCGTCATCACTGGCTTTCGGGAGCCCGTGGCGCGCCAGCCACCAGCTGGCACCTCTCGGCTTCCAACTCAGAGATCTCCGTGGCTGTGGCCCGGAGCGCTTTGGCTGCGTCATCCACTGCCTTCTGCGCCTCGGCCACCACTTGCTTGCGCTCCTCGGCCACCTCAGTTTGGCTCTCGCGCTTCTTAACCAACTTCGCATGCTGACGCGACACCTCTTTGAGCCGCGTGTCCAGAGATTTGCCGCGAGCGATCTGGCTTCTGAACGTGGCATGACGTGCTCGCAACTTCCCCCGCAACTCATCAAACTCAGGACCTTTCCACGTCTGCAACTTTCTGTAGCTTCTCGGTAACGGTCCCAAGCTGCTTCTGTAGATTTGCATCAGATTCGCCCTTGCCCGTGCCGGCGTCCATGGCATCGCCATCGAGCTTTGGAGACATGTCCTTCTAGCTCTGCTACCTCATCTCGCAGCCGCTTGAGCTCGGCCGCGAGCGTGGGATCTCGCCTCGCAGCTGCCTTAGACGCCGACACCGAGGGAGTGGCAGACTGCTAGATCCCCGCAAATGCCGCCGACTTTGGCTGCTTGCAGAGCGAACGGAGGTCGAGGTCCGCCCTGTTCCACCGATCCCCTGTCTGATGCGACTAGCAGTGCTCGCAATACCATGGACTCGCCCACGCCGTTCTTCTCTGCTTGTGTCCAGACGGCGGCGCCACGCCTTGAGAAGCAAGGGACGGCGCCATGGGCACTCCGATTGCGTGAGTGAACAACTGAAAAATGTATTCGTGCTGTGAGCTTGGAGCGAACCCGCTTACAGTACACAGACTGAAGATGCGCCTCCCGCCCTGGGCAGGCCACTGGGGGGACGCGAGAGCGGACGGGGGCCGCAGACCCCCCTACGCCAGAATGCAAACCCTGGGCCGAAACGCTACGGACTTGAGCCAAACTGGCTACGTACAGGGAGGAGGGAGGAGGGAGGAGGGAGGAGGGAGGAAGGAGGAGGGAGGAGGGAGGGGGAGGGGGAGGGGGAGGGGGAGGAGGAGGAGGAGGAGAAGGAGGAGGAGGAGGAGGAGGACGAGGGACGAGGTCGAGGAGGACGAGAAAGACGAGGAAGACGAGGAGGAGGAGGAGGAAGAGAAGGAGGAGGAGGAGGAGGAGGAGGAGGAGGAAGAGGGAGGAGGAGGAGGAGGAGGAGGAGGAAGACGAGGAGGAGGAGGACGAGGACGAGGAGGAGGAGGAGGAGGAGGAGGAGGAGGGAGGAGGAGGAGGACGAGGAGGAGGACGGAGGAAAAAAACATCATACATACGACCTAAGAATAATAATATGAAGAAACATTCTACGAAGCAGAAGAACACTAATCATACGGATACGAAAAATACTATGAATAATCAGACGACTGCTCAGAAGACAAGCAGTAATAGTACATCGATCAACAAGAAGACGGCTGATAGTAAGACTTCATAATACTAAGACTGATACTAAGAAGACGACCGAAGACAAACAGTTATACTACTACGAATCATATGGGGAAATATAATAGTAATACCAACAATAAGAATACTACTCATACTGATGCTACTGCTAATAATTTTAGTAATACGCAAACCTACCATTACGAATATTTTAGATAGTAAGAATGATAATAACATGAATAATAATTGTACGACAACGAATATTAATTAGACTAATCATGACAATACTAATAAGAAGTGTGATGCGAAGAAAAAGAACCAGGCGAATACTCATAATAGTAATCACACCCAAGAAGAGTACGAATAGTAATACTAGTAATCAGAAGAGGAAAATACGAGCAATGATATTACGACTCATGTTTTTAAACGTAATCATAAACACCATAATAATAAACATCATAATGCGAATAATAAAACTAATAATAATGATATTAATAGTATTAATCAGGCTAGTAACGATAATCGTAAACATATCAATTTAACTACTACCATAATGGACATATTAAGACGAGGAGGAGGAGGAACAGGAGGAGGAGGATGAGGCCATTCTTGCTGTGCATCATGCGCCTGCCCACCGCAGCCGCGAAGTCATTCGTGTTTTCTCCGCGCCCGGAAGGCGCGTCGGAGTAGGTAATTGGAATGCAGGCGCTTGGGCCAAGCATGCTCTCCATCTTCTCCACAACCCAGTGTGCATGAAATCGAGGAGGTGGACAGGACATGTAAACTGTTCGTGTTTGCGGCGAATGTGACTGGCACTTTGCTGGCAGCCTTCCCGCCTGAAAAGTTTGAGCTGTGCCTCCAATTTTCTCTGGAGTGGCGGAGTGGCCCATGTTAGGATGTAAGGGCCCCAGCAAAACGAGGCGCGGGGCCCTGGATCACAGGTTGGTCGCTCCTTGTCCCACTGTATCGTTGAGCAAGGGGAGGGGCAGCTACCTAGTTTTTTCTGCACGATGTGTGGGCCACACTCGTCCACGCGTTGCCACTTGCTCGGTCGAGGGTGCCTGAAGAAGGGACTCCCGGGTGCTGAGACGACGCTTCGTCGAACTTTCCTAGGGGTTTTACCCACACCACAGTCACAAGTCCACGGTCAGTGAAAGCACGAGGCTTGGTGTTGCGTTCCTTTGCCATGCTGCCCAGCAGCAGCGGCTGCCTCGTTATGTGAGCCTGGCAGCCCCATCTGCTGTTCTGACAGGAACTCCAGGGATGGTGGCGTTGCAGGCTCGGCTCAGGTGCGCGAGGCAGCGGCGGTGGCAAGGACTGCTGCGTCGCCCTGGGGCGGTGCTGGTCGATAAAGCGTCGCGAAGCGTCGCGCCTCGACTTCGTTTTGTCGCTCCAAGCTGGAACCATGTTTGATGATAAACCTTTCAGGCCCCAAGGGATCGCTGATGACCTCCCCCTGCTCCTCCTCCTCCTGCTCCTCCTCCTCCTCTTCCTCCTTCTCCTCCTCCTCTCTCAGCGCGTGCGCGCTCACGTATCTGCCATTTTTCTGCTTGGTCTCCTCTTCCCACCTTCCTCCACCCCCTCCGATTGGGTCTGATATGTGGGTCCCTCCCATTCTCTCTTTTACAGTCTGGTGCCTGTTGGTTCAGTAGTCTTTCGTACACGTGCAGGGGGGGCGGGGGATCATGGCGAGGGGGAACTGGGGGAGCAGGAGGACGAAATGGGGGGAAGGGGGAGGGCGTATACATGACGAAGACGAGGATGACAGGGAGGACGACTATGAGGATGAGGATGAGGAGGGGGACCAGGACGAGGAGGAGAAGGAGGACGAGGAGCACAAAGAGGAGGGGGGGGTCGAATTGGAGGATGATGGGAACCATACGGGGTTGGAGGAAGATGGGGAGGAGAGCTGGGGCAACGGCGGCGGTCGCGGCGGTGGCAACGGCGAGGGAGGGGGAGTGGACGGCGGAGGGGAGCCCCCCCCCCTTCCCCGAAAGCTCGAGAACTTCGACGTGGAACGCTTTTTCGAGGAGGCGAAGGCAACCGTGCTCCGCTGCTGCGCCGTTGTCGCCGTTCTCTCGTCCGTCCTCTTCCGTCCCTCTCTCCCGCCCCCCTCGCTCTTCTCTTCCCTCCCTCCCCCCACCTCACTCCCCGCCCCGTCTTTCCCCCCTCTCTCCCTCCCTCCCACCCTTTTTCCATCCTCCTCCCATTCTTCCCTGCTCTCTCCTCACACCTCCCTCCTTTCCCCCCTCTTTCGGACGAGAGGGGCGATTTGGACGGATTGGGCAACTTTCTTTGCTTGCGCTTCTGATGTGCCATGTCTGCAGCCAATTCTTTTCTGACCAGTATGTAGGTTGTTTCTCGTTGGTTACCTTCCCCCCACACAGCGCTAATAACACAACGCATACGGTGGGGGTGTTCGTTGAAGGAAGTGCGCAGGATGCATCAGACCCTGGAGGTTTCCTTACCTGATGATGGCGGCGGTGACATCTATCGCCAGTCCACGATCGGAGTTCCACCATCTTCAGACCCTGGATTGTACGGTAGTACGTGCCATATTTTCCAATATAGCAGTTGGTATAGAGGTCGTTCTGGGGCACACATGTCCACCCCTGACGTCCATTCAGGACTGGGGGACCGACGAGCGGACGCGGGAGGAAGCGGAATAGGCAGGAGGGGGAAGGGAGATAGGGAGGGATGAAGAGGAGACGGAACGAGAGGATGACCAGGAGCGAGCGAGCCGCAGGAGAGGCGTCCGAGTGACGAACACCAACCGCGTGTGAGACCTGAGAGCCACAGGGGTGGCGGAAAAGGCGAAAGCCTGGGAGAGGGTGGGGCGCCTCAGGAAAACCACACCCTAAAACCTCCCAGGGCCCAAAGAGCTACGCTAGGGGGCAGGGGTCGGGCCAGAACGCGCCGCACCTGCCCCTCTCTGGCGGGGCTCCAAGCCACGGCAGATTCTGTCAATCGCCGTGTGCTGGTTAGCCCGAGTCTTAGGATTCTCTGAAAACCCCTGGCACAAAGCCCGCAGTTTGCGGGCTGACCTGAAGGACTCGGACCCGTTGAAATTGCCCCCGCACTTACGGCAGCAATAAACGGAATTCACACAGAAAACGTCATGCCCCAATTCAGTGAATTCGGCAAGCACTGATGGAGGGGCGCCGGCAGAGCCACTTGAAGCACTCGTCTGCTCCAGCTGCTGAGGAGGGTCCACGCCCTGTCCCGAGGAGGGCTCCCGAGGCTCAGGCGTGGACCCCAAAATCCTATCAGCAGCCTCAAGGGCAGCCGTGACTCTAGAGTCCGAACTACTAACCCACGCCTCAGAACTCCGCTTGAAGAAGTCGTCGGCCAAGCTCTGGACCAAAGGCGTGGGAGCACAAACTCGATCTGCCCCTGAGCGAAGAGTATGGATGGTACTCGTACTTCGAGCGACTCGATTGCACCGACGACACTTATACTCTGACAACCTCTTGCAGAAAAGCAACTCATGGTCCTGGGGCCTCTCGAAGACCACACTCTTGGGCACCTGGACGGCCTCAGGGTCCCGCTCCGCGATAGGATCCGTTCCCCACTTACGAAACTGAACCACCTGGAAGACAGCCCAAGACACATAATGCAGGACCTGCTTGTGCTGCGTCAGCGCAGCGGCCAAACTCTCAGCCACCGTTTTGGACACCATGTGTGCGGCGCTGCCACACTTCGCGAAGAAGTCTGCCCAGGCATTGCCGACGAAGGCCTCAAGCTCGTCTGGCGTGGCCCACTCGATGATATCATGGAGGAGGAGGAGGAGGAGGAAGGGGAGGAAACGGAGACGGAAACGGGGGAGGATCAGGAGGAAGAGAAGAGGAGGAGGAGGAGGCTGGGGATTGGTATGATAATTAGAGATATGCCATTTGTGGTGATGATGGTGATGATGACGATGCTGATGATGACGATGATGATGCTGCTGATGATGATGCTGTTACTGATGATGATAACGGTACTGCTGATGACGATGAGGACGAGGAGGATTCTGATGATCATGCTGAGGATGCCGTTGAGGATGATGATGCTGATTATTATTAGGTTGGTTATGACGGCTATGACGATGATGCTATTGCTGCTGCTGCTGCTGATGATGATGATGATGAGGATGATGCTGATGAGGACGAGGGTGATGATGCTGATGCTGAGGATGATGATGATGCTGCTGATGATGATGCTGTTGCTGATGATGCTGTTGATGATGATGGTGAGGATGATCATGCTGATGACGATGCTGAGGATGCTGATTCTGATGATGACGACGATGATGCTGATGCTGATGCTGATAATACTGATGATCATGATCATAATGCTGATGAGGATGCCGATGATGATGAGGAGGAGAAGCTATGATGACGATACTGATGACCACGATGCTGCTGATGATGAGGATGATGCTGATGATGCTGCTGCTGGTGATGACGATGGTGATGCTGATGATAATAATGATAGGGATGCAGATGATGCTGATGATGCTAAGGGTGTTGATGATGCTGATGCTGATGCTGCTGCTGCTGCTGCTGCTGATGATGATGATGATGATGATGAGGATGAGGATGAGGATGCTGATGATGCTGCTGATGGGGAGGCTGAAGATGCTGATGATGTTGATGATGATGACGATGATGATGATGATGCTGTTGATGATGCTGCTGCTGATGATGCTGGTGCTGCTGATGATGATAAGGATAAGGCTGAGGATTCGGATGATGATGAGGATGAGGACGAGGATGATGATGAGGATGATAATGATAAGGATAAGGATGAGGCTGATGCTGCTGATGCTGCTGCTGATGATGACGATGAGGATTCTGATGCTGCTGATGATGATGATGATGACGATGATGATGATGATGAACATGATGATGAACATGATGATGAACATGATGATGATGCAGATGATGGATGGATGGATGGATGGATGGATGGATGGATGGATGGATGGATGGATGGATGGATGGATGGATGGATGGATGGATGGATGGATGGATGGATGATGATGATGATGATGATGATGATGATGATGATGATGATGATGATGATGATGGTGGTGGTGGTGGTGGTGGTGGTGGTGGTTTTGGTGGTGGTGGTGGTGGTGGTGAGGACGATGTGTGTGTGTGTGATATACGTGTGCATGACATGTTCGACTGTCACTCGCTGCTGTTTGACTTCTAAGTTCCCCCTGCCAAGGCTGATCTTCATTCACACTGGGAGCGTAATTGTTTACGATCTTCGGGTATCGTACCATTGTACATCGGTCTCGTCGCGTTCCAGAAGATCGCCGCGGAACACATACCTGTACTCGGGAACTACCTCACCACCGCCATGACGTTACCTTCTCCCCGCTATCAGTCGAACGCAGACGCGTCGACGCAGTCCGAGATAACGCGCGGCTCCTACATATATGATGGCACCGTGAGCCACACACGATTGGGAATTACGCGCAGACATGCGCACGAGCGCTGCTCTAGCCGCGAACAACTCCGAGTGTGGATAGCCACTTCAGCAGTGGCTGTCCGCAGCCGCCAACAAGTTCGTGAAGGGCCGGTGCGACGCGTTCGATTTAGCTTAGCCATGGATTTCGGTAAAGACGCTCCTGGCCGCAAAACGTATCAATCTGTCGATGCAGGCGGTACGCACATCACTCTTCCCGATCGAGTCTCACGAAACCAAGGGGTTTGTCCCAGGTTTGGGCAGATATCTGATGGGCCGATACCACGACGAACTGGTGAGTCAATGGTCTCATGAATCTCTCGCGGGAAACGCTTGTGGAAAAGACGCTTCGCGTACCTCCGCCAGCCCATCCAGAAGCGATGCCTCGACGAGTTGCCCCGATCAGGGATATGGGGGATGATGTGGTGAAATGAAGAGCGGGGTAAGACATCATACCCCAGGAGGGGAGGATGGAGGAGGACTCGGTTCAGCAGGAGGACGAGGAGGAGGAGGAGGAGGAGGAGGAGGAGGAGGAGGAGGAGGGAGAAGGGGGGGAGGGAGGCGGGATGTCGAAAACACTAAGACTAGGCGGATGAGGAGGAGGAGGCGGAGGAGGAGGAGAGAGGAAGAGGAGGAGGAGGAGGAGGAGGAGGAGGGGGAGGAGGAGAAGGAGGAGGAGGAGGAGGAGGAGGAGGGGGAGGAGGGGAGGCGGGGGAGGAGGAGGAGGGGGAGGAGGAGGAGGAGGAGGAGTAGGAGGGGGAGGAGAAGGAGGTGGAGGAGGAGGAGGAGGAGGAGGAGGAGGAGGAGGAGGAGGAGAGGGGGAGGAGGAGGAGGCGGAGGAGGAGGGGGAGGATGAGGAGGAGGAGGAGGAGGAGGAGGAGGTGGAGGAGGAGGAGGAGGAGAGGAGGAGGAGGAGGAGGAGGAGTGGGAGGAGGAGGTGGAGGTGGAGGAGGCGGAGGAGGAGGCGGGGCGGAGAAGGATGAGGAGGAGGAAGAAGAGGAGGGAGTAGGATGAGGAGGATGAGGGAGGAGGATGAGGGAAGAGGAGTGAGGAGGAGGGAGGAGGAGGGAGCAGGAAGGAGGAGGAGGGAGGAGGAGAGAGGAGGAGGGAGGAGGAGGGATGAGAAGGAGGAGGAGGGAGGAGGAGGAGGGAGGAGGAGGGAGGAAGAAGAGGAGGGAGGAGGATGCAGGAGGGGGGATGATGATGATGATGATGAAGATGATGCTGATGGTGCTGATGACGACGATGATGATGATGATGATGATGATGATGATGATGATGATGACGATGATGATGATGGTGCCGATGCTGATGATGATTATGCTGATGATGATGATGCTGATGATGATGATGCTGATGATGATGAGGATGAGGATGAGGATGATGATGATGATGATGATGATGATGGTGGTGGTGGTGGTGCTGATGATGATACTGATGATGATGATGACGAGGAGGATGAGGAGGAGGAGGACGAGGATGAGGAGGAGGAGGAGCAGGTGGAGGAGGAGGAGGAGGCGGAGGAGGAGCAGGATGAGGATGGGAGAGGAAGGAGGGGTGAGGATGAGGATGGTGATGATGA